GCTCCACAAACTTCCACTTGTATTTTAATTGATCCTGTGTTATATGATTATGATTGTGAGAAACTAGACCATCCTCATAAATGAGGAAATCAAATGAGCTATATTTACTATAGGGCTCAATAGAATATAAAATAAGATGGCTTTACTTCCAAATTTGTTTAAAATACTTCTCTTAAGCTTCTCTTTTAATAAGGTTAATTAATTCATATTTTTTTGTCAAGATTAAACATCCATGATAAACATTGTGATATCATATTAAACTTCGAAAGAAGCCTACATTGAGACTTTCCTAATGAACAAATATAATGAACAATTAAGATATTAATAATAAGAAATCACCAAATATAAACCAAAAAATATTATTTTTTAAATATTCTTATTATCTTAAAAATAAAGTCTTAAATGTAATATAATTTGGATAGAATTTATATTAATATGTTTAAAAGGGAGAAAACTCTTAGTTAGCAAACATACAAATCACCATTTTTTTAAAAGCACATAACACTCCATACCAACGATCTTTTAGATAAATGGAGGAACAGAGAAAAATTAGGGTTAGGAGATATAAGTGGCGTTTCCAGGATCAGATGGAACCCGACTTAAGCCAATGATCAGGATAACCACATAAAAAATTTCATGTAGCGTCCGAGCCATTATACCAAAAGGAACAAAGATCCAGTGGAATTGGTAATGGACGCCATCAAATAAGATCAAGCATGCATGCAAAAACCCGGATCTTATGAATAAGGAAAAAAACTCAGTCAAACAATTGAACAGATAAAAAAAAAATGGTTTTGTATCATTAGATAAGGATCTCAAAATCAGATAATAAGCAAGAGAAAGTCAAAAAACGTCCAAAAGAGGAATCGTTACTGTTTCGCTCAGACAGCCAAGGGTTAGTCTTCAATTTCTGGTTGAGAAAACCAGATCAGAAACTCTAGTCCAAATAGAAACTCCTCATCGCGGAGACAGTAACTGATAAATTTGAAATCAACATGATGCACACAAAAGACATACCAGATGATCGAAAGTGAAGAAAACAAATCAGAGAAATAGAACAAAGAAGGGCATTTAAGCGGCGAGAATCGACCGAGAACAGGTTTTTCGTTCTTCGGTGATTGGTTCGCTTATAAGATGTTTTATAGAGCACCCCGATGCTAGGGTTTGCAACAAGAAACATTTCGGAATTGTGTAGACCGGTTGATTAATATCGGACGGTTCCAAGCAATTTATGTATGTCATAATTTGGATTGCCTGTAATGCATTCTTTTTTGGGCATAACTTTCTTTTTTTTTAATTTGTATTTTTTATTTTTTTTATTTTAATTTGAATAAAAAAATCTGAAGAGGTTAAAATATCAAAAAATATATTTTATATTTATTTTAAATATTTGAAACCCCCCTCCCCTCAAATATGTCACAATAAAAATATTAAATTTTCAATACATTTGATTTATATCCAATCAAATAACATGTATTTCTAAAATGCATTCATTTTAATAATTTTATATTTCTAAATTACGTGCACTTTGAAAACATCTAACTAAATAGCTCTTAAGGTTGAAAATATTATAATTTAAATAGTTAAAAGTTAAAATTAAAATAAAATTATTATATAAAATAGTAGTGCAAACTATCTTCTTTCATTGATTTCTAACCAAAAAAAAAAAAAAATCATGTGAAGTTGGTTTAGGATCGCTTTGACTAAATAAATTAGTATTTAAAAAAATTATAATCATGTTCATTATATTTCCTCATCATCTCTATGTTAGGGCAGGATCACCACATGATATTAGGATTCAAGATTTTACATCTCCAAGTATTTGCAAGTTATAAGCCCTCCCTCTTGAATTCCTAGAAGACAGTAATTTGATCCATACAACATTATGATCTGATGTTCATAGCTTTCTACATAAGATCTTTTAGGATTCTGACATTTAACCTAATAAAATTTTGGTTGGGGTTAAATAAGTAGGTTTTGAGTTTGTCATTTAAACCTAATTAATTTTTAAGTTAGATTTTGATTGAATTAGAAACTAAGAAAATGATTAAAAAATAACCCAACAATTTGTATATTTTCCCTAAATTTGTGATTTTGGTTGCTTGTTATGATAGGAACCATCGCGCAAAGAAATTAATTGGTCTATATCTTTAATTGCTTTTCTTATTTTAAATCATCCTACGATTGATTGGCCTTACTCACTTCTTTATATATTATGCATATTGGAGAGTTTGTGCTTCATATTAAATGCTTGATACCATAGCCTTTTAATCTTCCAAGCCTTCAATTCAGTCCATGTCTACTAGTCCATATAATGGGCACATGAATTAATCCAACATTAATACAACTTTGTATTTTTAGTATGCTTCTTGTTTGGATGGAAGTTCGTAATAATTTATTTAATCGTACACTCAATGTATTTAATGTGAAATGATTAGTTATAATCCTAATATCAATAAGAAATGAAGAATTGAATGATGTTGATATGGATTGTCCGACTGAACACAAATTGAAGAACAACAAACCATAAAACCAAGATTGTTCGGCTTCACCTAAATGTTGAAGACTGTCAGTTGTGGCACCAAGATTGTCCTACTGACCACAAGTCGAAGACCATAGCACCAAGATTGTCGACTTCTCCTAAATGTTGAAGACTGCCAACCATGGCGTCAAGATGGCCTGGCTAATCACAAATCGAAGAATGACAGTGGTACCAAGTTTGCCCAAACTAGCCTAAATGTTGAAGACTCCCAGCCATGGTGCCAAGTTTGCCATGTTAAGCATAATTTAAAGAGTGGATGACGGTGGTGCCATGATCACCCAACCTCGTCTAAGTGTTGAAGACTGCTAAACACGAAGCCAAGATCGCCCCGCTGAGCAAAAATCGAAGCGACTGACCGTGGTGCTAAGATCGACCAACCTCCCCTAAATACTGAAGACTATCATACGCGACACAAGATCACCCAATTGAGCATAAATCGAAGAGTGTCAGACCGTGGTGCCAAGACCGCGAGATCTTGCCAAAATGTTGAAGACTACCAACCGTGGCACTGGGATCGTCTGGCTGAGCACAAGTCAAAAAGCAGCAGAATATGGCACCAAGATCGCCCTGCCTCGCTTAAATGTTGAAGACTGCTAGCTGTGGCACCATGATCGTCTGGTTGAACACAAATCAAAGAGTGTCAGACTGTGGAGGCAAGATCACCCAACCTCACCTAAATGCTGAAGACCCCTAGCCAGGGCGCCAAGATCACTCGTCTGAGCACAAATCGAATACGAGAGAACCGCAACGCCAAAGTCGCCCGACCTAGCGTGAATTAAAAACCAATAATTCCGCAACGACGCAATAACCTTGGTTGGCCTAACTTCAGAAACCACAATCTAATGGCAAAACGACGCAAGCGAGAGCACAGTTAAAGGATAACTAATAAAGACGCTAAACCCACAACCTACCTAGACCATTTATTCGAACATCCATAAATTATTCCAATTAAGAAAGTGCAACCCATAAAAACGAAAAAAAACAAACAAGAGTAAGAACGAATAAGATGCGAGAAGAATTCCAACTCATTTCCTTAAAAATATACACAGAGTTTTTATACATAATACTTGTCGAATCGTTGACTCAACACGGTCAGACGGTGTCAAAAATTCCTCACAAGAGAAATTAAATGCTAAAATCCTGCTCGACTCTTCTTTCATTCGCAAGAACCTTGTCAAAACACCACATGTGAGAGAATGTACTTTTTGTCGCTCGAAATTGAGAACTTAAGGAATCGTATTCGATGAACTGTCCAACAACATGGTCACGCTTACATAGCGGCATAATTATCTTCATCGCTCAGGATGAATCATTAGAACCGGTGCGAGTGCGCCCGACGTGGGGGTGCGGCAGACCACCGCATATGGGCACGAACGCGCAACTCCCTCTGTCTATAAGCGCGGGTGCGCCGTGAGGGTGCACCACACCAGATAAATATTTTGTTGTGCTCCTTGCTGTTGCCAATCAGCTCATACACAACAATTTTGATGGAAAATAACACAATATATTATTTATCTTTAATTAATAGATATCAAATCAAATTGTGGAATTGACCTTTCGGCTCTACTTGCATAGATTGAATTAGCTAAATTTGAAAGCTATATATATTATATATATGGAAAAGATGAATTGTTTTCTTGAAACTCCATTATGATACAAACGACTGAGGACAAACATAGAGAAAAAACAAGCTCAAACATATGCCTCATGCTTTAATTAGTTTGCTCCAAACCAAGCAAACCTGAATTTAGAATTCATGAGGTCAAACACTCTTCACAAATACATTATAATCACATATTATTTAGTACTAACATGCATACATATTTTGAAGGAAATTACTCTAAACCTATGAATAAGTATGATGAACTATAAAGTTGCTGTAATAGAGAGATGAAGAAGCGAAAAAAATATGATTCGGGTTGAGTAGACCTATATTTACGAGTACACATTAATTATCAACAACTACGAAAGACTTTTTGTAACCCCCATCATACACTTACTCCATAACCACTAATTTAATTTTTTTGTTGCTTTACATTTAACTTATTTTATAAGCTACCAACTTTGAACGATCAGTATCAAAACTAACCCATAATAATCAATACCTTTTTTTTCATTGTTAATAATATGTAAACAACCAGATTCAAAGAGAGGTTGGATCCTGCCAATCAACATATCTATAATTGCATTGATTAGAACGAACAAGATTGTATTAAGTGACTTCTAATGTAATCACATCAAATCCACCCACCATAATAAAAAATAAAAATCGCTTCTCCGGCCAACAACCCATTCAATAACAAAAGCATGATTTCTTTTTCCAACTCTGATATGATACAATTGAATGAACTCTCAGAATAAAAGAATATGAAAACCCAAACCCACCACAGAAGAAAATCGGTTACTTATTGTGATTTCAACCAAACAAACACTCCACTCAACTTTTCACAATCTTAACTTAGTAATTCACAACAGCACACTTCTTCCTAATCTCACCTTTACTTCCTGTTAAAACTTCAATGTTCCCCATCTTCACCATGGACACACCAAAATCATTAAAGAACTCTAAAGGTGAGCCATTTATCTGACGCTGAAGATAGGCTTTAGCCTCACTGTACTCAAGAAGAGACTGATCAGAAGTGAACAGAACCCTGCGCTTTAGCACATTCTTGTAGTAACTTGCATCAAATGTTTTGAAGCTGCCAGGATCCATTTCTACTAAGGTGGTGGCATCCTTTGGCTTGCATTTATCCTTCAGCTTTTGCAAGTAGAACTTGTCCAAGGAGGGATCGGAGTCTCCCTTGCCGGTGAAGTTGTATATACGGTCGTTGAAAGATGAGCAGTGTGAGGTGCCAATGGTGTGACCACCTACAAGGGATCAAGTCAAAGTTTATGTCATCAATGGCTCCAAAGAAAAAATATTAGATCAGGACTCTTAATGTATTAGGAGTCCAATGATAGAGCGCCACGTGTCAAGTGGTTCTAAAAAAAAGTATATTACGGTGGGATCATTTGACACGTGGCGCCTTATCATTGGACTTCTAATGCATTAAGAGTCCTGACCTAATATTTCCTTGGCTTCAACAATCTGGCAATCTGAGCTCTCGATCGATCAAATCAACTTGCACGACATTTTGCTCTCCAACGGAGTTAATTCTGAATATAAATTTTGTTGATGATATCTTAATCTGAAGTTTAACTCAGGCCAAAATTCCAGTCAGTATCTTAAGATACATATGTACAAATATATAGTATTACAATTAATTCACGTTTGACTTTTATATTTGATCAAAAGAAAATTATTTTTATGAAATTTAAGGAAATCAAAATTTTTTGAACCAGAAGTTTAGCTTGGTTTCATTTACAATTATTATAAGTATGGAAGCTTGAAATGGCACCTGAGAGAACAATGACGTCCTTGGCATTCAAGCCTTTTGGAACGAAGAAGCCATTAAGTATTTGAGAGAAGTTAAAGAATGGTGGAGGTAGATTGCGGAGGGCTTCTAGGGCTACAGATCTCCGACCGTCTCTCCGTCCGGTGGGCACTTCCCAATATGGTCCATTGGTCTGAACACAAAAGAATCCAACGTAGTTATATATCCATATATGTAGAGAGAGAGAGAGAGAGACTAAGGCTTTATTTGACGTAGCTGTAGCTTCTCAGCTATAATTGTGCTACCCCAGAAAGCTGCCGAGGGAAGCTGACTGTCTGTTTGTTGCAGCTGTATAAGAACAGCTGTTGAACAATTGTTTCTAAAATAATGATCATTTTACCCTTGTTTCTAAAACAGCTCTTATGAATAGAGAAAGTGAGTGTGTGTGTGTGTGAGAGAGAGAGAGAGAGAGAGAGAGAGTTATAATTCATATATTTAGAGCTAGGAAGGATTTAACATATTATGAATATAACTAGTTGCATCCCTTAATTATATATCAAGAGCATTTTGATGGATAAAGTGTTGCATTTGTATGCATGATAACTTGCCATATTGCAGAAAACTGTAGTAAGTAGATAATTGCAATGTTTTCTGCATAGTCAATTTTAATTTAACTGGAGAACATGTATAATGTATGTTATCTGTGTATCATACCAGAACAACAGCATCTCTGGCCACTAAAGCCAAGATATCAGCACAAGATACGATCCCCGGGCAAGCCTTCTCCAGCTTCTCCTTTATTCCGTCGATCGTTCCAAATCCTCTCAAACTAATGTTTGGTATCGCATCTCTCTCCGCCGGGCTCCTTGTTGTTCCATTCAACAGAACAGAGCCATCACATCCCTGCAAAATGATTTATCAACAATATTACAAATATATTTAATCAACATATATAACAAATAGATTGAATATTTGATTACATTTACAAAACAATCATGGAAATGCATTCTCAGCAATGGCCCCGCCAGGCTTGGAGCTAGCTTCATGACTCTCTTCATCTCTTTGTACACAATGGCTTCAGCCTTGGGACAGCTATTTGAATAGAATCCAACCTTCAGTCCTTCAGCATCTGTTAAGCTCGAGGAAAGAAGAAGAAGAAGGGAGAGAGGAAGCAGAAGCTTGAAGAGATCCAGGTGAGAGGCCATTGCAATGTGCTTCTGATCAAATGATGTTATCTACCAAAGCTTTTCACGTTTTATACAAGCGTTATCTTTATTTAAAATTCCTTGTCTGAAAGCTGGCATGGAAGCTGGTTGATTCCAATCAAGTGCTGTTTAAGATTTGAGAATTATAATTGAGTTTTTGTAGGATTAGTTGATGCTTGCAAGAAAATTAGCTAGATAAACATGTTGACATTCTTTGTTTTTTTTTCCCCTTCTTTTTAAAAAATGTAAATATTGCGCCTGAGACAACTTATATGATATGGTGGATTAAATAACTTTTGTATACCAAGTTAATATATTTCTAGTTAAGGCAGTCAAAACGGCTCGTTGTTTGTGAACAACTCGTGTTCGGCTCGTTCGCTAAGTTAACGAGCGAACAAGAACAGAGTTTTGTTCGTTCATGTTCGGCTCATTTTGGTTTGAAATAATACTCATCAATTATATATATATATATATATATAAATATTGATTAGTACTTTCAAAAAAATTAATTGACTACAAGGCTACAAAGATTTATAATCAATTAAAAGTTTTAATTAAGAAAAAAGAATAAAAATTATTAAATTAGATTCAAACGATGTTTTTTTAAATTTTGCTCCAACTCTTAACGTCTTATAGATATGTGATTAAGGTTGTCAAAACGATTCTTGATTCGTGAACAGCTCGTGTTCGGCTCGCTAAGCAAACGAGTCGAACATAAACATACTTTTTGAGCTTGAAATATAAATGAGCAGAACATGAGTTGATCATGGGCTCGCTCCTGTTCGGCTCGTTTACCCCCCACCCCCTCCCTCGCCCGACTTCTAGTATTGATTTTATCACCCTACTTCTAGTATTGATTTTATCACAAATGGTATGTGCTATAACAAAGTGAAATGCCAGATTGCTTTTGAATGTAATTTAGCATAATAATATGTTAAAGATACATTAATAATAGAGAAGTTAAAATTATTGATAAAGGATAAAATAAATGTTGCGAAGAGCTAATAAGGCAAGCAATTCTGAGGGAAGGTGGTGGCATGTGCGGCGCACTTAGAAGTCATTGGTAGATGATAATACAAAAATGAATATTACAAGTTATCTCGGCGTTTAATGCGGGGTATTGGTTGTTCATGGGGCTACATGATTGTGTTTATATGATACATATTACCATATAAAACAGGGTCTAGTTGTTCATAATTAAAGAGTAGGTTTTGTCAATGAGAAAAAGTACAGTACTTGACAAAGATTAATAAAAGACATGTCTGGCTTAGTGCTTCGAAGGTTTAAATGTCGGTTTATGGATATAAATTAGATGATTGTAAAGTCCACGCGATTTGCACGCAGCTATTGCATGTTGGTGATGGTTTCAATATTACAGAAATACAGTTTTTTTTTAGGGCCGATTTATTTATTGAAGAAAGAGGTTTTCTAGCTGTAAATCTGTTTGTGAACGAATAATTAGTCATAAAATTAATGAATAAAATTTTTATGACAATTACATACAGATGATCTGAAATTTATTATTTATAAATCGATCATTTTCTTTCATCAGTTTGTAAGTTCTCGCTCAAACAATATCAAAATTCATGATCAAACCTGGACTCAAATTTTTCTTTTTTTATGAATCCAAATATGTCCGAGAGACCTGACTAAGGAATAGGATGTTGAAGGATGGGAGAGAGAAAGAGGGGGAGAGAGAGAGAGTAATAGCACATTAATGAACATTAGGTTTGAATAACTCTTATTCATGATATGGGCATCCTATTAATAGAAATGGTTCCGATGGCCGTCAGGCCAGGTCTAGAAGCGATATATTCATCTGAGTAAGTCCGGTCCAATAAACTCTTCAAGGATGGGCTACTCTCATATCTTTCTGAGGTGCTCTATTTTTTTTATGCGCGTGGGTTGATCAGCTAAACATATAGTTTAGAATAGGCCTACCTTGGTAGATCCAATGGGGCCACATCACCACTTATGTTATCCACAAGTTGTCTTTGCGATTATTGCTGACATATTGTCGATATACACAACGGTTCAATAATTAAAAAAAAATCACTTAGATAGTTAATTTGTAAATATCAAAATTTTAGATGAGCTATATGCAATTATCCCAAATTTTTAAAATGATAGCAATGCAGAGAAAAAAAAAAGTGGCCTCAATGATTTCGAAGATATTAGCTTATTATTGCTTTCCTGCCGCTATCAACCTGACGAAACAACTACTAAAAATACAACCTATATAGCAATCATCTAATGACAATGACCATCAATATAACAAATATAAAACAACAAACCAACAGCATCCAACATTGAAAACTGCAATATAATTGAAGTATAAGATTTTAAACAGCTGGGTTCATACAGTTTTTATATGAAGAAAATTGATAAGGAGTAAAATACACTCATCTCATCGTCGTCATCTTTTTCTGCTTCCTCCTTTTGCTTTATCCGCCACTCAATGCAATTTCTTTAGCAAGTGCCACATGAGCTCCCTACTCCCATAAGATCCTTGTGATGTGAGTCCCTACGAGCTCGAACCAGCCTCAGGCGAGCTTGAGCTTGAACTTGGTTGATTAATCGAGTTCGAGCATGAAATCGAGCTGCTTGTTTTAGTGTGAAATAGAGAAAACAATATTAATCAAAATTAGTATTATGATGAAATTACAAATAAAATAAACATTTAAGAGAAAATTAATAAAAATAACTTGATATAAAATGTAAAATATCATTACTTAAACATTTTAAATAATTTGAGTAAAAATATTGAATTTTAATATATTTTTTATTAATTATTTTTTAAACAAGCTTCACTCACAAGCTGAGTTGAGTTGGGGCTTGCTTGAGCTTGGCTTATTAGCTCATCGAGCTCAATTCACGAGCCACTTACAAGTCGAGTTCGAGCTTACTCACGAATTGGCTTGACTCACTTGCACGGCAATTGCACCCCTATGTATTATTATTTTTGAATTATTATATGGTTACATAGTATGTCAGCCTCTATGACCGAAGGATGCTCCTCGACCTCATGAACCAACTAGCCTTATATCATCTTGACTTGATGAACCAAAGTGCTTGTCCACTCGGTAATGAGGATTGCTCCACCCAATGTTGTGTTCTATAACTATATTTTTATATGCATAGAAGAGAAAATATTTTTATGAATATTTAAGAACATATATACTTAGGGGGGCAGCAAAAAAAAAAACAAAAAAATAAAAATCTTATATAAAATTGAAATGTATGTATATACACGCAAAACAAAAAAACAAAAAAATAAAAATCTTATATAAAATTGAAATGTATGTATATACACAACATAATAATAGGACATAAATGCCATTTTTTTTTAGTTAAATAAACGGTGCAATTGAACTCAATGTTGAAATTACAAACTTATAAATAAACAAAAACCGAGCACATATTGTTATGATATGGCTCATATACCATATAGAGACAAACGCTAGAACGAAGCTGAGCAGAGCGGAGCGAAGCGGAAGAATCTGTCCAAATCGGGAAGTTACATTATGTGGGTTGGGGGTGCTGGGTCAACACCCCACTATACGGTACATGGGTAATTTGGTAATTACATATTATACTGCAGGGTTTACTCTAAAATTATAAATAGATATGTTTGTAATCTTAGGTCTTGAGAGAGCTGAATATTGTATTCTGTATTCTTTTCTGAATATTGAAAAGAAAGTCGCCGCTCTGCTCCCGAGGACGTATGCATCTTTGCATCTTTTTTGCCGAACCTCGTTAAATCTCTGTGTTCTTCTGAATTTGTGTCGATTACTATTTTTCTTCGCTCTAATTTCTCAACACATATAAAACTAGTTATTCAATTGCGCAACTAAATCAATGCTCTTTAATCATCAACTCAATTCATACTCTTCATCCTTTTTCATAGAATTGTTTTTCTCCATACCTAATAATCTTTAGCATAGTCTATCTCTACATTAAACATAACGGCTAGTTTTATATTGTATTTCTTATGTTTAAAATTAAAGCATAAATATTAGGTACTTTTCATTGTGGGTTATATAGAGACTAATAATTTCAATGTAAATATCTGATATTGGATCATAATGGAATGAAGTATTGATAATTCACGTAAGTATAAATTTTGACTAAATAGTATACGGAATTGAGTGTGATTCAATTTCACGAGAAACGAATGATCTCTCAAACACTATAGGGATAATAGTTAAAAATGACGGAAAATATGGCAGAAAAACCAAATATCTAATACGTGTAGAGAAATTTTTGTTTATTTCCGACAGATTATTGACGATTATAAGTGAATCAAGTTTCTGATAGATTACCTATAGATTAAACCATAACTTATAAGTGAATGACGTTTTCAATGGGCTCGAGATAGTCACTGATGGTTCAAACCGTTGGTACATAGCAAATTATAAAACTACAATTATAAGCTATAGGAAAGACATCCACAGATTCTTCGGCCATTAATAACTGATGGTTGAGCTATTGTAACCGAAGGAGGATCCCGTCGGCAGTTCCAATCTGTTATTATGAACTTAATAAAACATGGTCAATTGATTGTTGGAAAGTCGTTAGAAACTTTTTTTATATCGAACCAATATTTAAAATCCCTCATTTCAGTTCTCATACGTGCGCCTGATCTCCGGACCAAACACCATGCAATCCCATTTTTACTAAAGTTAATGATTGTTGACCTCACTTTTGGTTGAGGTCTAG